GGATTGTTGTTGGGAATTGAAAGGTTAAGGAATGTGTTGATGTAAAGGATTGCTCTGTTGAATTATTTGTTGAGATGCCTAACTAGATACTTGGAAGTCCTTAAATTCTTTTCACCCTACTTTTCATATAACCCTGCTTAACCCCTTTCACACCTTTTGCATTGACTGTTTTGATCTCAAGTCGGTTTGTGGTAAGAAGTTGATGAATTCTCATTTGAAAGTATGCCTATCATGTGATCAATGTCTGCTTGTTGCTAATTATTAAAGCCTCCATGTTCTAAGTGTGCATCTTTTCCAGCTCCATAGAGAGAAATCCTGCATGTGTTAGGGTTGGCGGTAAGATGGCTATGGCTTGACATACACTTACACATTTAGCAAGTGTTTTTGATATCTTGATGATCATAACATTGTTAATTTCTGGTGGTGTTGAGTTTGAAAAGAGAATGAACTATTATTGAATTAGAACTTAACAATTTCACTTGTAACATGGACCAGTCACTCATTTGCTTTACTTTGCATTAAATTGCTAGGGACTAGCAATAAGCAAGTTGGGGGGTGTGATAAGAGTGTAAAATACCATATTTTCCCCTCTTAACTATTGCATTCATGTGATTATATTATGCCAAAATGCACTCATTACTCTTATATTTTGGTTTAGGTTGCATTTTGGTGAAAAAGATGAAATTCGGAAGAAACAAGTGAAAAATGACCAAAGTAGAAGAGAACGAAAGTTCGAGGACTAAAGTGCAAATGATCCAAACTTGTGTCCAAGATTATGATGAAGATTCGAAAGTGTTAGAGGTCAAGTGGATGAGGAACGAAGTCAAAGGGATGAAATAACATCAAAGTTTGATCAATACATCAATTTCCAATCGAAAACCAACACACCAGTTTTTAGTCTCATATTGGGACCCATTTTTGACATAGAAGATGATCGGATTGGGAGATGACTTCTGAATAAAAATTGTGGCCCTTTGAGTTAGCTATCCAATGCAACTTGAATCACCTCAATTGGACATCAAGAAAGAAAGTTATGATTAAAACACTGAAAGCTGTCTGGCGGAACCATGCGGCCGCATGCCTTTCTACTATGCGATCGCATACATCTATACCGAGAATTGAAGAGGCTGAAAGTGCATAACCATGCGACTGCAATGACAATAACCATGCGGTCTCATAGTGTTTTTTTGGCGGCCGAATCTCAGTTTCCTTATACGATTGAATCTCTTGTGGTAACCTAATTTTCACGGGATATAAATGCCCAAAACCACCCAGAACGAAGGGAGACGCCCCCAGACCTATTTCTTTCATCTTGGTGCTCAAGAAACTCCATGGAAAACTAAGGAACTCGGTGAAGCAACGAAGGAACTCATTGGATTTGGAGATTTCACGTCATAATTTCATGTAATTCAAACTCTCTTTGCTTAATAATTTCTAGATTTGGATTTTCTCGTTATGAATTAGTATTGAAATTTGTTTAACTTTTAATAAATTTCTCATGGATTCAATCAAGCTTTTTCCATTGTTAAATTAAACTATTTGTTGAGTTTCAATTTAAATTACTTATTGTTGAGATTATTTTAACTTTTATCAAATCTTTCATAGATCTAGTCATGCTCTTTCTATCGAATGATTGAATTAATTGTTGAATTTTAATCTTAGTATCACTTTATTGGCGGATTGATTACTGCCTTATGCCTGATGTATATGGTCGATTTTTGATCTTGTTCCAATAAAAATGTGCGAATGTGTTATAGAAAATCTAGATTCTAGAAACATAATTGGAATAAAATTGGACTTCATTGTTAAATCTTCCAATTAGAGAGTTGGGAAGAAAACCTCTAATTGAGTAAAAATGCATTAATTATTGATGTTGATTGATCCAATCCAATGGGGGAACTCCGACGCTTCACTAATTCGCATATTGATAATTAATTTTTATTTCAAGTGACAAATCATTCCCACATTTAATTACGAAAACCCTAGTTTGTTTGATCTTTTGAGAATTTTTCCATCTCCCTGTGGATACGACACTTCAAAGCTGTACTACAATCACCGCGTTATTCTTTGGGCGTAATAAGGTTTTTATCAAACAAGGTTTTAACGAGACAGATACTTTGTAATATGTCATTCAAGGGGAAGTGTTGTAAATGGAAAGTCCATTAAAGTTTATTGGTGAATGACATTTGTACCCCTGTAACCATAGAAATTATTATCATTGTATCCCTGATTCTTACCTATAAATATAGGGCTTTGATTTTTAATAATACACACAAAAAGTTTATTGAGTTTTCTTTATTCTCTTTGAGTTTTTTCTATTCTCTTTTCCTCTCATTTTATAACAATTCCATTATTTTATGTTGTTTCCATTTATTCCTTTAATTTATCTTAATAAATTCGCTAATAATTCAATTATTCTTTTGGGCGATTGGCAATTAGGTTTGAAAGAGTGTTACTTTTAACTTCTTTCCCCTTTCAAGGAATTATTGTAACATTGTAATTTATATTAAGTTTTGTTGATCACAGAGTCTTGACCCTAAATTTATTCTCAAGTCAATATGTATTTTTGCATTGATAAGTTTAAAGTCTACCACAATTCGTTTAAGATATTGTTTGTGCATTTTGTATCGATTTTGTGTTGAAGTATTAAAGTTAGATGATACAATCACCATATTATGTGTTTCTAGTTAATCATATCCATTTTAATTTTCCAAAAAGTCATACTGCACTAGGTCAGAAGTCAAGGCTAAAGTTTGACATTTTGTCTGGGAGATCGTCAATAGATTGGTTTGATCTTAAATTTCAAGCTTTGCGGAGGTTAGCCTAAACTTTCGAATGGCTTAGAAACTCGTCGTTAATGTTAGGTCATCGCAAGTGATCCTATCTCGTCACGTGAACCACCAATTATTTATATTTTGTAATTTGTACAATGAAAAATTATCCCACGTTTCACAAGTAACATGGGGCAAACTAATTCAAATCTCAATACACGAATAGGTGGATTATTGATTCGGGTAATATGAGATTCGACCCAAACCCGCCTGATGATAACCAGAGACAAATTTATTTCATATCTTTCAGCTGCCAGTTGCACTGGCGTAGGGACAAGATAGAACTGGTTCTTTTTGGCCCACCATTGCCAATAATTGACACCAAGAAAGCCCTTTATATACGACAAATTAACTTTTATCAATTGAGAGGCAGTACTTTTATCAGTTTTGCTACACTACATCATGATTATCAGTTTTACTTATACTCTTTGAATTTTACCATTAATTTCGACAACACTTATTCAATACAATGGTCTCAATTTTGACACCTCAAAGGTCACCTAACTTAGGGTGTGTTTGTCACCCATAATATATTATGAAACGTGATTGATGTTAAAATGTGTAGTTAAAAAAGAAGGAAAAAAATTTTATTTACGTGTAATATTATTTTAATGAAGAATATATGATTAAAAATGAATGCTCTAGAAAAATAATGAGAAAAAATGAGAGAAAATGGATAACAAAGTGGGACTTAGTTCTAATTTTATTCAACACCATTGGATCGCTGATCACTCAAGTCAATTTTCATCCATGCTCAAAGGATAAGTCTTGAAATCGAGCTCCCTTATGCCTTTTCACTCGAGGGCAATCTCCCTCGGATCCATATAATGTATTCAATCTTTTTAATAACAAAGCCGAGTTGTTGAAATATTGTTCAAATTCACCTTATTACTATTCCTTGAAATTCCAAGGGGGTACCTGGGAAGAACCCAATTAACAAAAACCAAAACCATTCCACCTCAAGGTTTGTTTCAAAAAACACACATCAAAAACTAACTCTGTCTAAAAGTGAACCATTGGCAATAAGATGAAGGCCCTATTTGGTACTGGTTTAAATTAGATTTCAATTTAAGTCAAAATCAAACTTTATTAATTTTAACCACATATTTCATGGATTTCACAATTTTTCAACCACACATTTCAGAAGTTTTTTTCTAAATCTACTAAAAATCTAATTTTAATTCCCACCAAACAAAGGTAAAGTAGCTTAATTCCTTTATAAACTGGACTACATGGACTTCTATTCACTTATTATCCAACAAAAAGAAGACAAGATTGAGAAGAAACAGCTTTAATTGATGAACAATCATATCTGAAAAAGCATTGGGAATCTCTTGGGGAGGGAAAAAGGTGAAATTAAAAAAAAAACCAAAAAAAAAATTTTAAAATAAAAAATAAAACACTTTCCAATATCAAGATCACTGCAATTAGTTGTACAAGAATTCATTAGGATAGAGCTATACATATATATAAGTCCAGTACTTCCTACTTTTCGTTCATTCTAAACATAGCCCTTCAACTCAAATTGTCCAGAATGAAACGGAAGTATTATATCTGGCATCCTAGTCGCCATATAACATGATCCGTATCATACCTTATGCAAAAATTGAAAGTTAGAGATCGAAATTGAATCAACAAGCATTTTAAGAAGTTACGAACAAAATGTAACATTCAAGAATTGAAATTTCTCATCAGTTATGGATCTACCATGTCATGAACTATCATCCTTATTTCATTGAATCAGAGTATATAACATTCAATACAGTAGAAAGCCACTGCTACAAGATTGATCAAAGTCTAATGCACCTTTCAGACGCCTTCTCTTCTCTCCGTCCATGGTAAGTTCATGTTAAGAGAAGACGGGTACTCCATTTGGGCATCTGAAGAACTTGCAAAACTGCCCCTCTTCGGCCACAGCCATATCTTGGAAAAAGAATAGCTATCAGTTTTCGTCCCAATACTTATCTTCTTCCCGTCCTCACTCGAAGGATTACTGATTCGTTCCGTCCCTCTGATCAGCTTTGCATTAGGATGAGTTCGGTCATGGCTCAAGGGTACGCGGAGATTATCAACTCCAACTACGTACTGATACGAACCCAACGAGTAACATCTTCTAGCATCCAACTTACTATCACTAGTCTCTACGGCTAATTCCCCCTCTCCCTCTTCCAATTTTCTGAATTTACCGAGCCTCACGGGCAAAACGGCCTTTTCTACTACGACTTCCTCAATTTCTCCTGTCTTCTCAACCAAAGAATTCCCGTTCTCTACTTCGGTCGGATATCCATCTTCTTCCCTAAAATCATCGTAATCATAAATAGGGTTCGCTGTGGAGAACTCAGGATTGAAAAGGGTCCCTCTACAGAGAGGACATGTTGAATTCGACAAGAGCCAAGTATCAATGCAATTGATATGAAATGCGTGGCTACACAATGGGAGCAATCTCAGTTGGTCCTTCTCGGAAAATTCACACAAACAAACTGCACAATCAAAGGGCTCTTGTGAACCCTCAATCTCCTTATACATAAACACCGGCAATGCATCAATAAAAGCTTGATCGAGACCAGACTCGTGTAAATGGAAGAGTTGTTGCAATTGTCTTTGTAGAGCATCAGAGCCCGAAACTACCAAATTCCGGTTCGACTGCGATGATGATGGATTTTTTGTAAGAAATCGAACGAGCAAATGGAGAATTCCTGATACCAAAACCAGAGCAGCTAAAATTACTATAATGAAGAGAACCGCAGGACTAATCCTGATACTGGATGAAGATGGAGAAGGGCTCGATTCTTTATGCACGGAAGGGGAAGCTGATACAAGATAAACAGGAGGTGGGTATGTCAAAACACCATCTTTTTGATTGATTTGCTGCTGAATCCAAGACATTTTCAGATGTATATGTTCAGAAAATAACCGTTTCCCTCTTTCTAGATAAATCGCTTTGCCCCTCATTCTTCGAGAATCGCAAAAAGTTCTTCAAGTCTGAGTTTCTGTCATAAAAATGAAAATCCTGGCCTAATTACCAAACAAGAAACCAAGACAAGCACTTTAATGTTTTTCTTCTTTCACAGAAACATACAAATCCCATACAGCACAAAACTGAAAAACAAAGCCTTAACCCTTATATTTGTTCCCAAAACAGAGTAACATCACAACATGAACCATAATGCAGTTTGGTGCTGATAAGGTAACAATCATAATTCCTCCAAAATGTAAAAGTCCCTATTCACTAAATTGCCCAACAAAATGGAAAACAGTGATACAAGTTGAGTTTTTACCTAACTTGACACCGATTTCTAAGCAAAACACTAAGAAAAATGACGGAATTAGATATGGAAATCTTGCTGACAGATACAATTATATATAAAATGTTTAATCACATCAGTGTGTATCTCTGTATAATATAGAAAAAAAAGGTTGTATCTCTGTATAATATAGAAATATATACGTATAAGGGAGAATTGGGCAGTGAAAGAGATGGATTGTCATTCTACTCTGCAATTTTTAAACGGATTTCGAATCCAAAAGGCGGGTCTGGGCGCTAGTTTTCAAAGTTTTGGTGAAGTATATGCCAAAAAGACAACACTTTTGTTTCCATTAAAATATGAAAAGAAAAAGAATGTCAAGGATTGTGCAGAGCAAACACTTTAGTTTATGTCATTAGAAAGCGAATCAAAATTAGTAGAAAAATAGAAAATAATAATTAAAGCATGAGATGGTTATTGATGAATATTCACTTGTTTATTATTTTGATACGATCTGAATCACAAATTTTAACTTTTCGAATTACGTGCTTTCAACTTTTAAGTTCAAAAACTTAGATGTTTCAAACTTTTATGGCATCTTTCAAAGTCGAGATTACATCAACTACACCACTTTTAATTAAATTAAGAAACTAATTTCGGACTAAAAATATGAAGAGAATGAGGAAAAAAAATTCCTCTTTTTCTTTATCTAAATTCGGATATTATGAAGAATTATTGTTGTAGAATTCTTGATTCCATTTAGCTTTTGTTTGACATCCATTAAAATAATATTTTTTCTATATTCATTTTCAACCACATATTTTTACAATAAAAAATTTTATACATAAATTCAAATTTTTTTTCAACTTTTTAACCACATATTTCTCAAAAAATAACTTTTTAACCACGTATTTCTCAAAAAATAACTATTTCAAAACTCACTTTATGATTGTCAAATAGGGGCTTAATGTCTATTTATAGAGATAAAAGAGTTTCAATTATTTAATCCTTATTTAATTACAAATGTGTTCCTAGAACTTCAATTGAAAATAGAATTAAGTTTGCTACTTTCATAATAATTGCAATTATATCTAAAACTTTTATAGTAAGTGCAATTAAGCCTAAAACTTTTATATTAATAGCAATTAAATCTCAATACTTTATAGGGCCATTGCAAGGACATTATCAAACATATAATATTCAAACTCTAATAATTAGATCATATCTAGTCGACCCTAGACTACTCGATATAATTATTAGTTTTAATTTTTTCACTAAAGACAATACACTGCATTCTTGTAATATATAATATCACCAAAGCCAATATATAACTCTAAAACTTTCCTTTGACATATTGTATATGTGTTTTATCTCTATTCGAGATTCGATAATTATGGGCCCAAATGATCATTTTGTCTATCTAACTATTCTTAGCCCCCGTTTGTTTCCCATTATTTATCCATTAAAATGAAAAATATGATTGTTATCCATCATATCAAACCACTATATTTGACTTTCTATCTTTTGTGTGGGCTCCGTAACGACTATATTTTTCATTTTTATTTTCATTTTTACATAATGTGTATCAAATAGGCCCTTAATAACTGAAGTACAATTTTTTTCTACGAGAATATGAATCAATAACAGTGTCGAAGTTTAGTCATCACTTAATACTGTGCTCGAATTTATACTCATTCAATAGAAAAATATTTAAGTAGTTACTTTACTTGTTTCTAAAGGCTACGATTGTCGACACGAATTCATATTCTCTATTTTAGTCTTTCTAAAGCTCCCAACCCATCAATATATTTAACTAATTAAATTGATCTCACCCATTGGTGAAACAAATAATCATTTAACTTATAAAAAGATATACACAACATTGTTAAGGAAAATACATAAAATACTCGACAATCAAGTGAAATTTAATTCTCCGAAAAAACATGACACGTAATCATTTTAATACACTCTAAGTGTACTAGTGTCTCTTTTAACTATTTCTGCAATAATGAAAAATCTCAAATCCAAATAGTCAATCGGTCAACACTACAACTTTTAGTGCAAAGTCTCAATCTTAATGCATTGATAGAGAATAAATTATTTATGATAAATAAATTGCGTCGCACCGTGCTTTTTAATACAAATACTCAACTTATATTATTGTAGTTGATCATATGAACTTCAATTCACATGCTTATATAAATACAATAAATAATTAAATCATAATTCATTCATTACAAAATATTATTTTATCACGATAAAATATATTAGATGGGCACAATGTACCAATGCCAATGGTGAGAGCTCACTTTTGATATGTCAAAATGTGTCTCAATCATTTTAATCATGACTGAATTGGTGATGAGCTACGTCGTGAGCTGGCATGCACAGCCCTATAATCTAGGAGGAGTGAACTTGGTGAGCTTATAGACAAGGACTTTTTGATAGGCATGGATTGGGATAGATGTCTCCCCTAGAATAGATCCTTTAAAACAGAACAATTCAATTGAGTTTTGCATGAAATATCTATGAAACGAAAATCTTGTTGTTGCATAACTTAGATTGAATTAATGTGCAATCGATTGTTCATCAATCTCATGATGACATTCTCATGTCAAAAACATTCACTGTATACTCTCCGAAGGTAAGAAAACACTGAGTGGACAGGGATGGACCCAGCACCTGACGAGCCAGTGCGGCCGCCCTGCTGGCTCCGACGAGGAATTTTTTTTGCATATAAATGAAGTGTAAAAACTAAATATATTTAACTTCACTCCATTCACAGAAAAGTGGTTGTGGTCTAAATGGTAGCGCTCTTGTTTTGCAAATGAGAGGCATGAAGTTCGATTCCTCTCCCCCCCCCCCCCACCCCCACACTTCGTCTTTTGAATTTTTTACATAATTAAATAACTCCATAAAATTAGTGTTTACTTTCCTGAATAGAAATGCTATAGCTCATATGATAAATTGTTAACTTTGCATTTGAGAGGCATGGAGTTCTATTCCCTTAACCTCCACTTCTTCTATTGATTTTTTACACAACAAATAATATCTAAACAATTATATATTATTAGTTTTTGTTTCTCAATAATTTCTTTAAGAAATTTGTCAACTCAAGTTTTTATTTCATAATATATATTTTATTAGGTCATTTTTTTTTTTATGAATTTACTTTGTAAAATTCAAATTTGGACAATTAAGTACTGATTTTTATTCTTTTAAGAGTTCGAAAAATATTTTTCTTTTTGGGGGTAAAAAAATTGCTCTAAAAATCACCGTTTTAAAAATTTATTGACTTAAATTATTGCTTTATAATATATACTTTTATTTTTAGATTTTATTAATTTAATTCAAATTTGAACAATTTTAAATACTGATCTTTATTTTTTTAAGTGTTCGAAAAATACTTTTCTTTTTTAAGCTAAAAAATAAATCTAAAATTCACCGTTTTAAAAATTTTGAACAGGTTTAGCCTAAACTCAAGCTTGTATTTATCATTTAATCACTCTTTACGTATAAACTTCATCTTGTCTCGTTTAAGTTCATAAAATTTGAAACTTGATCGTGCGTATATAATTCAAAAAATATATTTTTATTCTTTATTATTTTGGGTTATATAGAATTATATTTTCATATGCATATAATTTTTTTATATTTTAGTGCATTTATATATTGATTGAAGATTCTTTTTATATAAATTAATTAAATATTAATAAACAATTTTCTTATATTGGACGATCGCTCAATGGCCGCTTGACGCTCTGCCCTAGCTCACTCAAGTAGCTAGATTCGTCCCTGTGAGTGGACATTTGGGAAAAATCAACCATATAAGAACACTATTTTCATTGATGAAGATTTTTAAAGAAGTATCTTGGCTTAGATTTGTTTCATCCATTGTTTTAGTTTTCAAGTTCTTATGTTTTTCGGCCATATAGTGTTCATATTCCCACACCATCAAATTGTCAACTTACAAATGAGAGTCTTATTTTAATCTAGACTAATATAATTTTTATTTTTTCATTATATTATCTTGAATTGATGGAGCTATTTACACCATTTAATTTGCATGAGATTTATCTTGACTTCTTGTTTGCCTCTCATGGAGGTCACAAGTTCACCATCAATAAAGATTTAGAAAAAGTGGAAAATCTTGATCGTTCTAAGGGGTCCATCAAATAAAACAATTTGTCAACTAATACATTTTTGGGTTGATTAAGACAAAAAGGGCACGTTTCGATAAAGCCTAAAAAGGTAAAGTAAGCAACATTTTACCTTCGGGCATTTTTAAATGACTTATTTTTCTTACTTTTAAGTAGATAGAATTTAAGTTACTATTTTTAAAGATAATTTTTACCTTACTTAAAAAAAAAATAAATAACTTCACTAATAAAATTTACTTAAAACTTACTTTTCAACTTATAAGTGAACTTTTAAAGCTTAAACAAACATGCTCAAGAATCTATAATCAGGATGGGTAATACACTCCTAGCAGTAGATACACCTTTTGTTCTCTTCCTTGAGTGACTGGAGAAATTATCAACATTTTTAGTAGTTTCATCTTCTAATGGATTCAGCCTTCATGCCCAATAAGAGAAAAAAACAGATGGGAAAAATTCATGGGTCTTTAGTTTAGCCCAATTCAATTTTTAAGAGAAGAAGTTTACATTTTTCAAAGAGAGCTGCTAGACGTATAGAAATTTTTTTTACAGAACCTTTACAGAATACACACAGTGTGGGGTGGGTGCGTAATTTTTGGATTATTTTACTCATATGGGGCCCACCCCCCATGTGAGTATCTGAAATTCTTCTGTGATGGAAATTCTGTACACACATAATTTTCCTTTTTCAAAACTCATGTGGTAATTAAATTCTATTAATTAAATAAAAAAATCATATATAAAATAATTTCAATTTCTTTATGGTCCAAGCCACAATCATCGGCATCCACCATACGTCATCCTCTCTTACTGTCGCCGGTATCCACTCCCACAATCATTGGCATCCAAATAACTTCATCGAAGAAAAGTTAGAATCTACAGAGATTGCCTACGACTAAACATCTTCTTCAAATGCGAACTGATCATCATCTCTGATAGTAAAGAGAAAGGAAGAAACATAGCGATCACTGAAGAAAATAAACTGAGTATCGCAGAAGACTGATCATCTTCTTCAACATCGACTAAGCAACACTAATGTAATTCAAATCTATTTTTTTAAATTGAAAACTGAAAAAAGCCCCTAATGTAATCTACAGAATGCTCGTCGGAGCAAATAACTTCAATTCTCATCAACGAAATCTA